TGTAGTTCTTCTTGGTGGATTTTTCCGACTTTGACATCTGTTTCTTCCATGTGAGTTCCATGGACCTCTGATTAACAAGCGAAGAATAAAAAGGACGAGGAGGAGGAGGAGGAGAAGAAGAAGAACGAAAAAATAAACGAATAAACTTTATTTGAAAAGGGTTAAGAATTGGGCACGCAGGCCAGTCTAACATTTCTGCCCTTCCACTCCGCTTCTTGCATGCAATTTTTCATTACCTCATTTCATTGTAAATAATAATAATAATAATAATAATAATAATGATAATAATAATAGTAATAGTAATAATAATAATAATAATAATAATAATAATAATAAGAAGAAGAAGAAGAAGAAAAAGAAGAACAAGAACAAGAACAAGAACAACAAGAAGAAGAAAATGTAAGTTTCAAAACCTTTCTGTCTTCTTTCTTTCTTTCTTTCTTTCTTTCTTTCTTTCTTTCTTTCTTTCTTTCTTTCTTTCTTTCTTTCTTTCTTTTCTTTCTTTCTTTCTTTCTTTCTTTTTCTTTCTTTCTTTCTTTCTTTCTTTCTTTCTTTCTTTCTTTCTTCTTTCTTTTTTTTCTTTCTTTCTTTCTTTTTTCTTTCTTTCTTTCTTCTTTCTTTCCTTCTTTCTTTCTTTCTTTCTTTCTTTTTTCCTTTCTTTCTTTCTTTCTCTTTTTTTTTCTTTCTTTTCTTTCTTTCTTTCTTTCTTTCTTTCTTTCTTTCTTTCTTTTCTTTCTTTCTTTCTTTCTTTCTTTCTCTTTCTTTCTTTCTTTCTTTCTTTCCTTTCTTTCTTTTCTTTCTTTCTTTCTTTCTTTCTTTCTTTCTTTCTTTCTTTCTTTCTTTCTTTCTTTCTTTCTTCTTTCTTTTTCTTCTCTTTCTTCTTCTTCTTCTTCTTCTTCTTCTTCTTCTCTTCTCTTCTTCTTCTTCTTCTTTTTCTTCTTTCTTCTTCTTCTTCTTCTTCTTCTTCTTCTTCTTCTTCTTCTTCTTCTTCTTCTTCTTCTTTCTTCTTCTTCTTCTCTTCTTTTTCTTCATTAGGCGCTGCTAGTCTCAGATTTTTATAACCGTATAAAAAACGAACATGGGTGTGCCGGGCCAACTTGGATCTTGATTTAAATCGTCCCAAAACGTCATACTACAAGGCGGGGATAATTGAATGATAACACTAACGTCTGGGGAATAGTATTTTATAAATGCCGTAAGAGAGGGGCCAGTGCGTCTAGGAGAACTCCTACTTGCATTGGAATAAAGCGAACTTTTACTCTGGTTGAAGTTAGTACCTTCAATGTGGGAACCAGAGTTGTCATATTAGCATTTTTGGTGCCAGATTCCACAAATTCGGCATATTTGTAATTGAACTTGCATATGATAATGAACTGGCATATTTTGGCATATTTTGGTTTTTCCCGGCTTTTCTTACTTTCTTATCAAGATGTGCTCACATTTTCTCCATGGTTCCTCTGTTAGAAACACGCAGATTTACTAAAAGCAATGTAGACCAACAGTTAACATATTTATTTTAGTTTGACTCTGTTGTGATGTCCTGGTACGGACTAATGGAGATTCGCGACATTTCTTTTTTGTTGTCTTCCTAAACGGATCGTGACTTCGATAAACCAAGACCCTCTGTAATTTATGTTAACTACTAGAATAAATGCGGGATATAAAACCAAAACCCGCCACTGATACCAAGTGATTCAGACTGTTCAGAAACTACTTGAGGACAGAAAATAGAGAGGATATAGACCTAGTTCTATCTGTGATAAATTGTATTACTTTCACCAATGGCCACGTCATCCCAAAAAATGGAAAGCATCTTATGACATCGCAAGTATAATAGTAACTGGAAAAAAACATACTCGTGGCTCAAAAGATCTTCAGACGGATCAGAGGCAGCATATTGTAAACTGTGTCGGTGCACTATTGCACCAAGAATTAGTAGCATTTAAAATCATGAAAAATCTGAAAAACACAGGATGAAAACTCCGTCAAAAAGCCAGTCACAGCTTATTACAACGTTGACTCCTAGCGAAGTAATTGATAAAATTAAAGGCAACAGAGTTGCAACTTGTGTAGACATGACCTGCCATTGTGCAATACTCACAATACATCACCTAAGTGAAATCATGAGAGCGCATGGTCGGGGGAGTACATTGGAGCACATATAGTTCCATAGAACTAAATGTTCATGCCTAAAAAAAATATTACATTGCCTGCACTTAAGGATGACCTTATTGATGATTTTCGAAACAAGAAATATGACAATATTATAGATAAGTTGCAAAGACTTCACCCCATCTGATAAAATGCTTAACGATTTTACATCCGAAAAGGTTTACGCTGTGTCTTCCACTTGTCCAGTGAGGATGACAGTGAAGAATTGAATCTAGAGCTTTTGATATGAAGTGAGTACAGCGTTACACCTTATTTGGCATTTTCTGGCATATTTTGGGTAATGGCACTGACTGACTTTTACCCCACTTGGGTAAACACCCGGACACAAAGGCCATAATGCGGATGAGGATCACCGTGGAGAGGTCCCAGAAACCGCGTTCAGACAATTGGCCATATTGATGGCCTGCCTATATTGCGGCCCCTGGCAAAAGCCAGAGTAGGGCTTCAAATAAGAAAAAAATTACGTCCTGAAAAGGACGTAAGTATGTTTATGAATTTTTGTATCTGGCAACCCTGACTGGCAACTTCTCATTGGCTACTGAAACATGACTGAGCGCTGCAGAAATGTCCGGATTGCAGTTTAGTTTATCCATTCATGCACTAATTAAATGACTAATTCATTCTACGTGGGTGTAAACATCATAATATATGCATTTACATTTACTCTTTGCCATTTGTAAAGGGGGTAAACGAAAACAGAAATCATAATGACTAAACATAAAATGATAACCAACAGAAGTATAAATAACATAATGAGACTATTCGAAAGGGTACAATGATAACCAGGCAGCACTGTTAGACAGAAAAACAAGACAATAGTGAACAGTACTCACAGAACTGTAGATATACTAAAGCAGTACTTTCAACGTGGGGCCCACGACCCACAGAGGGGCAATTTGATTGTTAAAGGGAAAAAAGGGGGAGGGGTGCATTTGAAAAATAGACCTGTGCAGAGTTTATAGTTTAAGTCGGGGGATCGACTTCATTGCACGGGTTTATCTCATATGGCTCAGTCTCTCTTCGCAGAACGGCCAGCACAGAGCACAAACTCCGTAGCTCTGATGAATCCCCATGGATCTTTATAAAAAAATTACACTCGGGAACCGAATGGCGCAGCCGTGAAACGAGAGGCAAACGACTTGACCATTTCGCCACGTGACCGTCGGGCCCAGAGTTTAAGTTACGCAGAGGGGCATAAGGTTAGTTGCGTATCCTTTACAGGACGCTGCAGAACCAACCCCAGCAGCCCCTGGCTGTTGTATGGTTTCTCTAGGCAAATTTGTGTCCAGTAGTTTGCCATTGCTTCCTGGACGGTCGGTCTCCTGATACCACTGTCGAAACCAACGCAAGGCGCATGGAACGCAGCATTACGAAGCGTTCGCATCGACTTAGCCACATAGCCGACAGAGGGACATATGAAGTTTAGAAAGACTTAGATGGAGAATGGAACAAAAAAAAAAAAAAAAAAAAGGCAACAATGTACTATACAGATGTACATTCGAATCGTAAGAACGCCCGGCTCTCTAGCGTAGTTGGCTAAACCTGCGACGACCGGGTGACGAATTCCTTGTGGTCCCGGTTACGCCCGGTAGTAGGCAGAAAAACCATATTTCTCCCAGATTTACGGTATTTACAAAGAAATCAAGGCCGAGGGGTTGCGATATCCACAGTACCAAGCCTAAGGGTTAATAATTCATGGTTTCTGGATATAAAAAAAAAAAAATTGAAGAACCACAATAGTAAGCTCCCCTTAAGGGGTCCGTTGCCCCATTTTCTGAGGGAAACATGAATGGACCCACCGCCCCCCCTTCCCCAGGTCAAGCATGTCGTAAAAAATGACTAATTAAGATTTCGGTGAAATGGGTTGTGTCAGAACAGAGGGAGCAGATACCGCTGCTTAGCCTCACAACGCTCCAAGCTAAACGCTCCTTAAAGGAGAAACACTGGAGATGTACAACTGTAAAAACAAACTGAATCATGTAGCAGGTTCTTTGTAGAACGTATTTATTATCACAGTCTGGTTAAAAGAAACTCGGTCTATCGCCAGCTCTCTCACCTCGTGCACTTTCCTACCTTAGGTGTCAATGATACGTTGTTCCCATCTTCGTGCTGGTCGGCTGCTGCCTCTCTTTCCCTGGCACCGTGCCTACTGATATTATTCATTGTATCTGCACTGGCGTTTGATATGGCCAAAATATTGACGTTTCTCAGACAAAATGGTGTTTAATAGCCAATCTTCCTTGACGTTCAGACTCTCTAGAGCAACGGTTCTCAACCTGTGGGTGGCGACCCCTTTTGGGAATCGAACCACCCTTTGACATGGGTCGCCTAAGGCCATTGGAAAATACATATTCGCTGAAGTTATGAAGTAGCAACGAAAGCAATTTCAGTTTTGGGGTTCATCACAACATGAGGAATTGTATTGAAGGGTCGCGCATTAGAAAGGCTGAGAACCACTGTTCTATGGTGTCAGTTTTCTTCGTGGACCTTGTTATTCTGAGAATCTTTCTTTAGAATTTTAGCTCAAAGGCTCATATTTTCTTCCTCAATGACATCGAGTGTCCACGACTTGATTTTCTTGCTGGTGTTTAACCATAGACGTTTAATTATTGCTCTTCAATCTTTGCATTGCTTTGACCATCCTGATTGTGACATCCGTTAAACAATTTCCATTGTTGTGTATTATGGAGCCTTGATATTAGTAGTGTGCAGAATTTATTGTTTCCATTTTGATGACAATGAACAGACTGACAAACGATAAAAGGGTAAACACACAGATGAAAAGTGACAAGACTAAAAACAAAAACAAAATACGGATTTCTCCTTACCGTTTTGGTGCCAAGATTTTCGATTCCACAGACCAGGATGGCAGTGTCACCTCTGTTGAATGACACATTTGTGGGCCGGGGAATGAAAAAGGGCAGCTCCTCGTCAGAATTATCGTAGTCGCTAGGATCTGACAAATACAAGCAAACATATGTTGTCAATGAGGCAAGTAGTGTGGAAACCATGTCTAGTCTAGATCGATAAACTTATAGTTGATACTTGAAAAATAATTAACAGTGCCAGATCTATATCTTGTTTGATTTTCAGTGCACAGAGGCGGCCCACACTAGCACAGCTACAGAGGGGCACGTCTGGGGTGATGTTGGAAGCTCAAATACTAGCTAACTAACCTGGGCAGGATTATTTCTTACTAAAACATCACTACCACAGGTATAACATAAAGACTGTACAATCTCCCACGGTCTGTCTGTCAAACAGGACTACAAACATGAGCACATTCTGCTGACCTAGCCACCCTACCTACAACTTCGAAAAGAACCCCACCCTCAAGAGCAAAGTGTGCAGAGCAAGCTACGGGGAACCATGCAGGACATGCAACTGACATTCGAGTTCATAGAGGCAACCCACCTGAAGGTCTGACCTAAGCATATGAAACCGAACTCAAAGAAAATCAGAAAGTTTTTATGCGAATAGAGTTACTCCTGCAGTGGATGCCAGGTCTAATTTGTATCCACACAAATGCAAAGGCTTATGGGCTCGTGAAATTTTGCACGGAACATCAGTCAAGCTCACTCCTCTGCGGGTTTAAAGCGTCAAAGACACTTTAAACAGTCGATGAAAGTGAACTGTCATAAGGAAATAAAAAACCTACAAACAGTATAAGAAGGTATGGTAGAAACACTCAGACGGGGATTCCCAGACACCGAAAGGGAATCAACACTCAGGACAATTTTATACGGCAAGGGTCCAGCTGATTGTGCTACATGCGGTTAGGATGCATCAAAGCAAACCAGAAAGCGTGACCCACAAGGCTAAGTATAGTGTTCCTATTAGAAAGAAGAAATCTGACACACATGAGTTGCCCTTCGTGATAAACAGTGAGGAGATGGAGCGCACCGACCCCGTGCTAGAATAAAAGCCCAGCAAATGTTTATCACTAAAAATGTAACTAATTAAAAAAAAATAATAATAATAATACGTTATATGAATGTCGCTGTTGCTGATCAAAAGGTCTGTACAACTTCAAGTTTACAATATATTATCCATGCTATATATTTATATATTTATATATAAAACCTTTACTAGTGTCTGTATTTACCACTTGTTAGGACGGAGGGCCTCATTGCTAGTGCTATTGCCCCTGACTGTGCAGGTTAGGACGTCAGAAAAACTCCAGCAACTTACCGGGGGTTGAACCCGGGTTTCCAGTATAAGAGCCCGAAGTGATAATCGCTCGGCCAGCCGCTCCTCAGCAATACTTTAATCGTTGATATCATCAAAGAACTCTAAAAGGTTCAGATTTTAGAAGAAAAAAAAAAGGCCTCCCTGTCCTCTAAAAATTATAAAGAAACTGAGCATGCCCCCACCCCCCCCCCCCCCCCCCCCACTTCCTCTCCTTTCCTAAAACAATTTATGTGTTGCTGCACATCTAACAAGGCTGGCGGGGAAGCTAGCTACAATAGACATATAGTTCTTCTTTTCTAATCTTATGCTTTTACGTTTCAGATTAAAATAGACGTGTGTCCGTACTCGGCTAATGACAAGACAACACATCACATCCGTTGCTTTCGCTTGCAACTCATTTCCGGTTGTATTTACATTACCATATTATTCTCTAATTCTTTATTTGTTTCTATTTTCGTTGCGTCATAAAATTTTTTTTCATGATCAATAGACTAGTTTCATTGCTGCATCCGTGTAATTGCGATAATAAATTGCTTTCATCATCACTAAGATGTCGATCTTACAAACAACAACGCAGAAAACCTAGTGCAACAGACAACACTAAGAAACGCACAATAAAATAAAAGCATGAACAAGAGCCACAATTATAACATGATGAAGATCGCTTCTGTTTAACTGCTTCTGCCTTTTGCAACAAACGGTTCAGATTCGTGTTTTTTTAACGCCTATACCTGCAAATTGAGCACTGCTCGCCACTGAAAGAAGTGTAGGAAGTATACTTGTCTGTGGCTGGCGCAATATACATAGTGTGCTTTAATGTTGAAATCGCTGTGTGGGGTCCGGGAGCCCACTTTTCGGGTGTTTAGGAGATGGAAGGGGGGGGGGGGGGGGAGGGACATCCACTGTCGCCTGACTAGCATGTTCTAAAAGTTGACTAATTAGAGGATTTTCCATTAGAAGTCCGTGTGCATCTGCAAGGTAGACGAGCAACAAAGAGTCTGTTTACAAATCAGCCAAATATGTAACAAGAATGTGCACGCAAAAATCATGTTCCGAACAAGACTAAAGTCCAGAAGTGGACGAACAGCCAGAACTTTCATAGCGGTGACCATCAAGAAGAGAAAATGAATCCAGACTGAGAATATTGTATGAAAACAAAGATTGGTTCTCACGAGGTCCAAGACTACCATGAACATAAAGCAATTCTGTAGAAAGTATACTTGTCCAGAATGATACTGACCACATAATTTATCTAGCTTCGGTTAGCCTAAAACACGTGACTGGCACCATACATAGTGTGACCACAATGTCTTCAGCCGAAAACGGGACATTTCGTAAACATTTTCACTTAAAAATGGACATCACAAGCAAGAAAGTTTACCTCCCCGCTACCCCCTACCCCCCCCCCCCCCTTTCCCTCTTTGTTCATCTTCATTTTGAAACTTTTAGGTCACCAGGAAGTAAATGTTAATTCTCGCGCAAGGGTACTATTAAAACCCAAACCATTGTCGCCAAATTCGCAACGAATTCCCATAAAAACGCATTTCATGCATTACAATTAGGGCTGTACCGAATAGTGAAAATCACTATTCGCGCCGAATACGAATACGAATAGTGAATAGTGTATGAAATATATCCACACACACATCACACACACACACACACACACACACACACGCACGCGCGCACGCACGCACACACATTCATATTGTCAAATGTACGCTGAACTTTTACTTCACATAAAGTAGCAAAGAATAGTCATCTTCTTAAGCCCTTGAGGTTTACTGCTGCAGGCTGTTTTGGAAAACCTGTAATAAGGCCTCGTCTTTTTCATTTCTGCTTCAAGTTTCAGAGCCATATATATAACACGACTGGTCTTATCAACGTTTTCTATATTTTGATCTTGGTGCTGCGAGACAGACAATTGGACTTAAGCAGATGTTGAAGTACATAGTATACTTTTTTTCTAGATTATTTGTCTCTCAGCATATTGGAGCAGTTGAAGTTTGCACCCAAGTACTTATATGTTTTCGTTCGTTTGATTTTCACATTATCGACTTCGATAAGGCCGGAGTTTAGATTCTTTCCATGTTTACTTAGTATTCGTACAGAATCGTAAACATTTCAAAAAATTTTATGTTTTGCATCCTTAAGTCAGTCTGTGTAACTAATAACTAGGAATGAAAGAATCCTAGGTATTATAATAAGTAACTAAACTTGGAAATTGTCACTGACAGCTTAGTTAATGCATGAAGGCTGGATAATCTTTTAATCAAAACCAGTCGTTCCATGTTGTCAGCATTAAGGCCGTGTATGCAGAAGCGGGTGTAAGGTAACTACTATTCGTATTCGGCCCGACCGCAACTATTCGGCCGAATACCGAATAGGTAATAGGTCTACTATTCGGCCCCGAAGCGAATACGAAGCGAATATTCGGTACAGCCCTAATTAAAATATTTAAAATTGAAATTTGATATTCCCTCGAAGTCGGAGTACATCTGCCGGAGAGGCGGGGAATGAGAACTGCAAACAAATAAGCCAGTAAAACGGATGTACACGCAAAATTCAGGTCAAGGTAAAAGCCAAAAGTCTATTTAGACGAACAACCGCGACTTACCGCCGGAATTCACAGCCGGTGAACAAGAAGAAGAAGAAGAAGAAGAAGAAGAAATTTGATAAGGGCCACAGATATAACAAAAATTTTGTATGTTGTATTCTGAAGTGTATTATTATAATGTTATAGAACGGGACAATTTTAATTCTAACTGACAGGACGGTCTGGGACAAACCTAAAAAAAAAAAAAAAAAAACTAGACTGTCCTGTTGAAAATGAGACCAATGGTCAGTCTAATCATTTACCTATTGCGCTTCAATGAGGGATAAAAAAGGGGGAAAAAAAAAAAGGGGGGGGGGGGGTTTCCTTCACTTCTTTTTTAATGCCTGTGTCTAGGAGCTTTTATCGGAGTCAAAAATAAACTCTCAAAGGGTAAAATTATCAAAGAGATTGGAGATAGTAAAGCAGAACGGGAGAAAAGATCAGAGAGAAGGAGTGGGGGAGAGGAAATGCAAGATCGACGTTGAGCGAGGTGAGAGGAGAAAAAGAAAAGCTTTCAATGAATCGATATCTCTAGAATTCAAGTATCGTTCATCAAAATAAGAACAGGGGAATGCAGCAAAATAAAAAGGGAGAAATAAACGCAGAGGGAGAGAGCGCCATATATTTTTTGGGCTCAAAGAGAGAAAAGTGTTACGACAAATGACAACACATACACACTTGAGCACACGCTAGCACACGCATATGTACACACACACACACACACACATATATGCATACCCACTCACATATACAGGCAACAGTTGCAGGAATTTCTCAAATTCAATTGACATCGTATACATAAATTGTCACTTGAAGAGAGGGTAGCATTTCTTTAACAAATGAGGTTGCTATAAATTGTAACTGCCTGTGTACTGTGAATATGTGTGTGTATATATATATATATATACTTCTTCTCTGACACCCCAGTTCAGTGAGCCCTATGTGACACATAAAAGCACAACAGGACAATGTTGATGAAAATGGTGAGAATGATGATGATAATGGTGAGGATGTTGATGATAATGGTGAGGATGTTGATGATAATGGTGAGGATGTTGATGATAATGGTGAGGATGTTGATGATAATGGTGAGGATGTTGATGATAATGGTGAGGATGATGATGATAATGGTGAGGATGTTGATGATAATGGTGAGGATGTT